CGCGAAAACCGCCTAGCCTCTTCCCCCCCCCCCCCCTCTTCCCAACCCCCCCCCCTCATGTTGGTTCATTTCCTTCCACATACTCTTTAATAACCGTTTCCATTTGCATTCTATCTTTCAGCTGAAAGAATTCAATTAAGCATTTGCTGCCAATCTTATAATTTTATCATTAGAAGTACTTGGAAGTATCTCATTCCCTATAAAAAGCTTATTAAGTCATGCAGGATAAATCTATGGCCCTTTGTCACTCAAGTCCAAATATTGTTGTCAATCGAATGAATGGTTTTAGAAAAAAAGGATTTTGCATTCGTCAGTAATGCATTGGTCACTATACTTGCCTTGGATGTAGAGGTCACGAGTTCGGCTCCCATCGACTCATGACCCAGTGAGAGGAATGATCAACTGCACTGGTCCCAAAATGAGCGTTCGAAAGTATTTTCCCCAATCGGCCAACATTCATTTTAGGTTTATTTCCTAATACCAGACATTCTTATTCCATTTTTCCATTAAGTGTTTTGGTTGAATCATTTAAGCTTTAGAGAATGCTAATTGGTATTAATAATTTTACATTAAACTTTTGCATTGAGGTTGGTTGCCAGTCGTACGCGTATAAGATGGATATTTTGATTATTGTTTTTATTCATTTTTGATGATTATTAGCATGATTTTGCATGTTCCCTTATTTTAAACTTAAATTTATAATGAGGAAAGTAAAGAAGTGTTTGCCACGTATGAGAATGCAGTGTACCAAACTAATGGTACAACATCTAATTCTCAAAGAGGACAATAGTTTGGTATTAAACGCGGTCAGTGGTGTTCCGTTGACAAATGCATTTAGTTTTTACCAACTGTATTTAAATTAATGTATTTTAAATTACTACTAAATGTTTCTTCATGACTTTTTTATCTGAAAGTTTCATTTTTCTGCCTATCCGCTATATTATGCCTGTTTTATGATTACTCAAAGGAGACACTAAGATGTTCGGGAATTTTCTGTCTCCGACGGCGGTAAATTAACCTACTTCATACTTGCCTCCTGAGTTTTACCGCCGTTTTCCATAAAGGCTCCGACTTGAAGGATTTGTATATGTGAAATTACCAGGAAAAAATAATGATTATGTATTTAATCATTTGAAAATTGGTACTAGTGAGAAATTGATGAGGCCCATTGAAGGATGTTTGCGTAGGTGATCATGAGAACTGGGTTTCGGGAACAAGGTGGGCGAGGTGTCGGTTACGTTTTCGTAATAGGGGAGAAGCCTGAATTGCATTCCTGACTGGGATCAAGTCCAGTGTCCTTGTGTAAAATCAATAATCGATGTGCATATATATGAATGCTTAAATAATTATCGCACTTCACGCGTGCAATGGGAGTAACAGAGCTGATTCGATTTTGTGTTGACGGTGTGAGTCATAGCCCAGTAAAATCAACAGCTATATAATTCTTAATTTCTCTTTAATTTTCATCGAGTCCACATTTATTTTCTCTCTATCTTTTTCTGTCATATGAATAGAAGCACTTGTTTTTGAATCACGTAATTTAGCAACACAAGTGAATGTCAATAGTTTTTGTTTTAATTAGAAATAGGCATTTTCTTCTACTGCCACCCATTGCCTTAAAAATTAATTCTCAACCGAGATAACCTCTTTCTCTCCAAACTTTTGCGTCGAGTGCCTTGACACGAATGGAACTGCAGCTTCTTTCTCTTTAAGTCCAGATTTTCAATGCATTTTCACTATTACATTAACAATCGCAAAATGTGCGCTTCCTTATCCGCTTGTATGTTTGATGAGAGCATTAGTTGGTTGCTTTATTTTGTTCAGACGACTTATTTGCAAGCGCTAATATTGTCGGATTGACCTTAAGAGTTTAGTTGATTGGGGGGGGGGGGGGGGGGGGGGGNTGAGGCGCGTGTGTGGTGTGTGGGGGGGGGGGGGGGGGGGGGCAGGGGGTTAAACACGCAATTTTAGTGCAAAATCCTCACGCTATGTCCTGTTTTCTTTGCAGCAGCATCCCAATTCGGACACTGAACCGTCTAGGCATAAACGCACCACTCCAGGTAGAACAGCCAAGCGTTCGCTGACAACCGACCTTACTAAACCCGCCACCAAAGCTGCTATGGCCGCGATGCCACACGTCTCTCGATCCAACAGCGACCTAAAGCGCACCCTCCTTGCTTCCAGGCGCCTTCGCAACTACACTGTGAGCAATGGACCCTCAGAATATTTGAGTAGGGGTGGGAGCCTCTCACGTCTCTCCTCAGCAAGCAGAGGACGTCGGGATGGCGTTGGTGTGGAATCAGATGTTGAAGGAATTCTGAATAGAAGTCCCTCTCCCAAGATGGCTTCCAGTGCCATCTTTCCTCGTTGGGCCTCCAGCGTGGTAGATGTCAACGAGGAGAGCCCTTTTGAACCTCCACCTGTCGATAGAAATAATCAGTCACCCGATCTCGTGAGTTTAATTCGCTAACATCATTGAATAGGTCATCTTTTAGATGCATTAGGTTGGGTGGTCTAAATAGATATTTACTAATGCCCGATATATAAATTAGCCAAGTAAATATGAAAGGGCATAAGGTTTTAAAGGTGTGTAAAGAATGAAAGTAAGTACCAAGAAGTTTGAAAGGCGAGCAGGCTGAGAAAAAGCGGTTATCTTCGTATCACCGGTACAATCCTCCACTTCAATCTAGAACCATGAAAATGACTTCGTGGGGCTGTTCTTATCAAAGGTCAAATTCTTCCCATATTTTCAATAAAAATGCAAACCCTTCTTCAAACGCATTTTTGTGACGTATAATGGACACAAATAAGTCTAATTAGGATGAAGGTGAAAACACGCTGATTATATGATAGTTGGGTTTTTGCGCACATCGTGTTCAGTCTTAATTCCTGCAAGGTGTTTTGTCATGTCATGGAATTCAATACTCTTTGGAGCATATCCACCTCTGACTCTGGTTAAAAATTAGTATTAAAGACTCCAGAATGAGTGACCTTGACAATGTAATTATTATCTAAATCATAGCACTGTATTCTAGCAATTGAGGACCTAGTTATCTCAGCAGACGCTATTTTTCATCGAGTATGGGACTTATTGCGGTTACATAATGATCGATATGCCATCGAAAAAAAACATCGAGAAGATTGTTTTGGGTATTTTACAAATGAGCACTCAAATTCTTGTCTTCGTAGTAGGTTTAGACTTTTTTGAGTGTGTTCGATCAGAGTGTTTTAGGGCTTTCGTGATTGGTAGTTGGAAGGAAATATAACTGAACTCGTTTTATCATTTTCATTGCTATTAACTGGTAAATGCTTCAGCAGCTGGTAAATGGACAGTGAGCATGCTGAATAACTCCAAGTTAATGTCAAAATCTCTCGGAGTCAGCTCCAGTGCGTCCACAACTTCAAAGCGGGAGAGAGTAATTAAATATATCCCTTCAGTGTAATGTAGGAAGCGTCTGTTCTAGGGGTCGGTTTCACATTAATTAATTTATTTATTAAAAAAGGGGAATTTTCTAGCATACACTCATTGTGTTATTTAGTAATTCTATAAACAGCAGAAAATGTAATACTGACACTTTGGGCAAACTTTGTATAACTTAGTTGCACATTTATTATTCATGTAAGCAAATGTATTACTTTGTGTACAAAGCAATAGGTGGCCTCTTCCCTCTCCACCTGTGTACTATCGAACGTTGCTAATTAGTTTCGTGCACTTGTTATCCAAATGGTTATCTCATGAGTGTGGCTAAGCATAACTCCTCAAACTTGCATTCGTTTTAGTTTACCTGTTTGACAAGCCAAAATTGCATGTATAATAATAAAGTGCGCTTTGAAATATTCATGTAGGATCAAAAACGGGGATTGGAGTTGTTCGGCTTATTTTTTCAAGTTCTGCAAAATTTCTTTGTAAGTGCGCTAACATTGTGCCTTTTTGAGTTTACTAACTTTCCCCTGTCACTGCCATTTTGGGGTCGGATTTGGTTGTGTGTGCGCGTTTAAAATCATCTTCTAAACCACTTCTTCCCATTGTGATTGTGCTTCCATCTTAATTTGTTTTGAATTACCTTTTCAGATTGAGACAAATCTCTCTCTAACCACTAGTCTCTCTACTGATATCCTTTCGAACATTGACGATCTTCCTCCAATTAAACATCACAGGTTGGTTTCTTTGTAATAAAAAACGCGTTTCTTTAAGTTTTATATTCATTCCATGCGCAAACTGTGTTCTTTTTTCAGTAATAATGGCTTAATGAGTCGTTCTCAAATTGACGATTACTGTCCCAAACTCAGTCGCGTAGAGGAGCTGTATGATAATGAGGTTTGTTTATTTTAGGCAGAAAGTTACTTAAATTAAATCAGTAGAAGTAAACTTTAGTGTTTGTTTCGTTTAGATGGACCTGCTAACGCATGAGAGTGCACCGCAAAAGCGACCAAATGCACTGACCATTCGGGGGAAGACCTCGGCTAGAGCGAGCTGGTTGGAGCCGGATGCTGAAGGAATCGCAACGGCTAGAAATCAGGAAGATGATTTGCCACTTACGGGAGAACCAATGGTATTTCGTCGTCCTCACAGCACTATGACTCATTCTCGCTCCTCTGAAGACGTACGTTTTCGTGTTTGGTGTGATTTTAATAAGTCGGACCTTAGGATGAATGGCTTTTAAGAGCGGAATTTGATAAAACGATGTGAATATGTTCTTTATCTTCATTTTTTAACTTCGGTTACAATTAATTGTGAAATCTTTTGTAGAATGTCCGATTCCAGTAGACATTCACCTAACATATTTCCTATCAATCGAACTTGGTAAATGGAATGACAATTGCCATTGTTTTTTTGCACAATTTTAGTTACTCTTGGGAGATTTAGAAACTGGGATTATTGCACATTTTTCACTTCCTGTTGTTGAACTTTTTGACCAAATCGCCCACATGTTAGTGGCAATGGAAGAAGCTTTCACTTGCTCAAATTTTAATGGCTTTGATTGATAGGAAATAGTAAGTGTTATTGATTGTTTAAATTTTCTTCATTGCGCCACAGGAGCTCTCAGCACACACCAAATACGATGAAGTGGTCTTGTTATTATAGAGAGATCTCTTCCTATGCAGCCCAGCAGATCTTGGGGCTTGGATTGAATATTCGAGCAAGATGTGAAGATAGTTAAGGGGGTCAAATTTCAGAGTCACTCATAGTTAGAATTCATTTGACTTCTTGCACATGTGAATTTGAGGTGTTACCTGCTTGAACCACGCCCTCTTCTCTATTGAAAATTTACACCAATGTATTTGCCAAAGTAAGAGTGAAAATCCTTAAAAATGGTATCGAAGCATTAGGAATAGTGGCAAAGTCTAAAGGTTTTGGTTGGAGATGGTGAGGTAGGAACAGAGAACGCATACTGGGATGGTGGGGGGGGGGGGGGGGGGGGGGGGGAGGGGGTGAATCTAAGTTCTGGGTTCCTCAAGTTCTTTGCTTGCTACTTAATGACCTTATTGTCTAACATTCCTAGGTGCCTGAGTGTTAATTATTATCCTCAGTGTCTTACATCGATCGATGCGTTGATTGAAAATGAGAAGCTCTAGCTCACAAACCATCAAAACTTGTAAAACTTTAAACTTGCTAACACATTATAGTTGGAGAAATATTGAAAGGCCTACAGGCAAGAACAATAATTATAATCCAGTGAATAGGTAATATATTTCGGTTACTTTTGACAGGCAACAGAGGGGAGGAGGTGTGGGCATTAGCTGAGACCCAATGTCACAATTGATAATCTTTCTATCCCTCTTTTAGAGCTTAGTCAATCCTGTCTCCTCAACTTCTGAATCTGTCTCTACACTAAGTCTCCTCTACAGTGTACGTGAAGCTCTAGACGCTGCTGTAGAACAGCTGGCAACGACAGATGACGAGGCGATCAGCGACAGTCGAGAGTTCTTTCGAACACACTTGGAATGGCGTGTCAGTCGGCTGCGGAATATCCTCCAAGTTGAACCCCCTCTCTCCTCTTCCATTCATTCTGGCATCTCCTCCACTACCATGGAACAGCAGCAGAATGTTGAAGAGACAGCAGTGGTCAATCAGCTCATCGAACGCCTCATGCCGAGTATTCGAACTGCAATGACTGAGACGCTGACTGCGACAGCAACTACTGAACAGGTTGCGGACAGGAGGTCTCTGAAGGTTTCTGCTGACCCTCTGCCTGCGGAGTAGGGTGTTTGGTGATTGACTCGCTTGTACAGTATTTTATTTTGACTTTACCTCCTTTGACTCCTCCTTCTCCCTCCTGCTTCCGCCACTTAATTATGTACTTTTATTGACTTTTAAATATACATATATATACCCTTATTGGTAAAATTGCCAATGACTTATCATTTATCGGCTAGTGGATTGAATATTTTGTTATTGCTGCCACCCTTGACGTAGAAAGAAAAATTGACATGAAAAGAAGTGGAACATCGAGCTAATTTGACTGAGTGTTGCAAAGGGGTGGGGTGGGGAGTGGAGAGGCAATAAACCATAGCACGTAGAGTCTTTGTTCATTTGAAAAATAGCCCCACTGCGTCTCCCACTCCCGCATGTAGAGTAGTGTTCACCATGCTTCAGATTTAAATTTCACGATTTAACTTTCAGGTTTGTGGGTGGGATTATATTAACAATGTGCAGTATAATTTCTGCAACGGTCCCTAATTTGGGATCAATGAAATTACCTGTATTTTTCCAACCAGGACGGGTGCTATGAGCTTGCCTAACCCCATCCACGGGTCGGCCTCGTGGGGTGTGCGATAGACTTACCTCCACGTGGTGCACCCTGGGCAACGTATACTCATACGGCAAAAATGTCTATTATTCGGCAGTTGACTTCCGACTTCAAAACACCATCACCGCACTGTATGTCATATTCGACTACTTTACAGTACTCACCTCACCTTTTTCACTCTACCTTTGTGTCTGTCTCTTTTACATCTTTGAAACACTCTCCTTTTCCGCCCGATTAAGAGACCATTTCCGAGCCGTCCGTCCAACACCCACCCGTTTGAATATCACGCCCGTCTATATCCATAACGATTTGTCTACATGTCCTTTCGTTTTCGTTCGAGTGGATTCAGTGAAAAGACCCCTACAACCACCGTACGAAGGACCTTACAAAGTTCTCAAACGCAAACCAAAATATTTCATTCTGGACCGCAACGGCAACAAGGACTCCGTTAGTATCGACCGTTTAAAACCGGCTTACCTGGAGCGCCCTATAATAAATCCCGCGGTTAGGATTCACCCGTCCGGTCCTACAACCCCATAAACCGAAGAAGCTATACCAAACTCGTCCCCCCCCTCCCCCACCACTTCAGTCCCTACCCGTGGATACTTCGGCCTCTGCAGTTCCCCCTTCTGTCCCTCTTCAACCTGAACCCTATTACACTCGCTACGGCCGAAAAGTCACCTTCCCCTCCCGGCTGCCCGACTATGTACACTCGATATGTCGAGCGTTTTCTTTCTCCTTTTAGGTTCCTACAAACGCTCTATTGAAGGGGAGGGGAGTATTGTGGGACACGTCATAGCTTAACATGTCATCGCATGCCTGCACGCCAGGATTGGGAGGTGCAACTGTACAAACAGTGACCAATCGTTAACCTCTGTTTGTTTAACCTAATTCGCCATCCTGATCATGATTAAGCTACCGGCGTGATCACAGTTCACCTTCGGTATCTGGTGCATTAACGTATCGGTTATACGTCTCTGCTTCTCTTGACTCGGTAATTGGGAGAATCTATCACAAAGGTTTCTGAGACTTAAGCCAGGCTTTACTAACGTAGAAATCCGCTACACTTGGGACTTGATAGCATATTCGTAACTCATTACTAATGCATTTGATGTAAAAAGCATCTGCTTACTTAAACCCAAAATATTATATATTTCCGTGGTTTATTTAATCAGCTAAACTTTAATTGTGTTAAAAGCTGTAAGCTCTAGAAGTGCTAGTCATCTGACAGTCCCCCCCCCTCCCCACCCACCTCTTCCTATCACCTTCTCTGTCCGTTTTAAATGGTTCTTCTATACTTTCTCTCTGTTCTTTTCTAATGATATTGCATAACACACTCGTGGTCCACAATCAAAACGATCTTCTGATTTGAACCAGCCGGTTGCCACAAGTTCACGAGTTCTCTAGTTTTGCACTAGGATTTACCTCCACGAGACATAAATCTAAAAATAAAAATTTGCTAATGCAATCTGGGTAACTTCTCAAAGAACATTAGTACCAATAAAAAATTGACAACTAATGTGCTTACAGTCATTAATAATGCCTAAGATGACATTTTATGGTTCCCTAAGAGAGTTGTGCGATAGATTTACCTCCACTTGGTGCAGCCTGGGCAACGTGTACTCATACGGCAAAAAAGCCTATTAACCGGCAGTTGACTTCGGACTTCAAACTACTAAGACCCCACTGTATGTCATATTCGACTACTTCCATAGTACTCGCTATAAACTGGCAGTTGACTTCTGACTTCAAACTGCCATGATCCCACTGTATGTCATATTCGACTACTTCCACAGTACTCACATTATTAACTGGCAGTTAACTTCTCACTTCAAACTACCATCACCCTAAGCGGCAGTTGACTTCTCACTTCAAACTACCATCACCCGCACTGGCAGTTGACTTCTCACTTCAAACTACCATCACCCCTCACTGGCAGTTGCTTTCTGACTTCAAACTACCATCACCCCACCGTAAACCGGCAGTTGACTTCTGACTTCAAACTACTATGGTCCGACTATAGTTGACTTCGGACTTCAAACTACTAAGACCCCACTGTATGTCATATTCGACTACTTCCATAGTACTCACCTCACCTTTTTCTACCTTTATGTCTGTCTCTTAGGCATCTTTGAAACACTCTCCTGTTCCTCACCCCCTCTCGACTTTTTTCACTTTGAGTTTCCTTCCCCTCTGCGAAGCCTGAAGTCAACTAAAGGGCCAGTGATAACTATCAAGACGCCTGCCATTTAGTATAAATAAATAAATAAATGATTCCCTAAGATTGCTCGACAAAGGGTGTGGTACTGATCACCTTCAATATCTCCTTTACGGATAAACTGAAGAGGAAATTTGAGCATTGATTTATGAAAATAGTGAATAAGGCGTTTTAGTTGCTGTGCCCTGGTCAACAAAGTCACGTACTAAATATCCCTTTCTGTGCACGCCCAACGACTACCTCATTGGCACAATGTCTAGCAAATAAGATTGACGAAAGAACTGGGATCTCGCACCAGGGAGGCCCCGCGTTTCTGTTTCTCTACCCAAGAAGAAGATTTCGTAAAACTCCTGCCTATTCCTTTGATATAAATCTAGGCTTCTTCAAAAGCATTCCAATTCCAAGTGAAAGCAAAATGCCCGTAAATGGGAAACATACTTTTAAACTTCTAACAAAAAATGCAATTAGCTGTAGCATGAACCTAAAACCAACTAGTTCTTGATGAGTAAGAGGCGGTAATTGCTACTCTCTATTTTTAATTAAATCTTTAAAGATTTCAGGACGGAACTTTTTAAAATTTAATATTGCATTAACTGCAGGCGTACATGCTGGACGTGTATTCATTCAGTGGTCGTTGTCTGCAAAATTTAATACTGATATCTCGTTCCGCCAGCGCAAACATTTTTGCTTGGGAATAGGAAGATGGCAATATGGGGTGCGCGATAGACTTACCTCCAAGTGGTGCACCCTGGACAACGTATATTCGTACGGCAAAAAAGTCTATCACTCGCCATTTTGACTTCAATTTATTATGATTAGCTTGAAAAAAGGCTATAAGAAAAATCGCCCTCGTCAGGGCGAATCACAACGTCTTCAGATCCTCCAGGGGAATGCTGGAGGAATGTCACCGGACAAAAGATCCAAGTACAGAAAATCCTACAAACCTATGATGTAGACATTTTCACAATTATGGAAGCAAACATTTCGGATGACAAACTGAAGTACTACCGATTCCCAGGTTACACCCTGTACCTTCTACCGTCAAGTTGCAAGTGGAATCCTAACTTGAGTAAAAGAA